GGCCGGGCTGGGGATTCGAACCCACCACCTTAGGTGTATGTGGCTGGTGCCTTAGCCGCTTGAGCCACAGGCGCCGAGCCTAATTTGTTTCTTATTAAATGTACCATAAATGTAGAAAAGTGTACAAATTCTCAGTGACCAGGTCAATGAATTTTCACACACTGAATACAGCCATAATGCCATTACCCAGGCAAAGACAGGACACATTCCTAGCTCCCCTGAAGCCCCTTGGTGCCCCTCCCTGGCCCCTGCCCCAGCCCCCTAGCACCATGTGTAGGACAACAATGGTACACCTCTAGTGTCTGACTCCTTTCACTAAAGGTTATGTATGTGCAAGTCACCCACATCACTGTGTGTGGGTGGCTGCACATGACCCTCTGCTGTTCTGTCCTGGGATACCAGTTTATTTCTTTAGTCTACTGCTGACAGAAATTGAGTCAACTTACGTTCAAAGGAAAGTTTATGCAATTGAAGTAAATGGAATACCAATGTCCCTTGCCATAAATGGAAACACTAGCTCTTCATTTTTCTAGCTCACATAAGAAAAAAATACAGAAGTGCAAAATTTCTCTCTGTGTACCCCTTGAAGTCACCCTGGGCTCCATCCCTGAGGAAGAAGTTGAGCTGAAGTGAGAGTCCAGAGCACAGGGCCCAGCACCCAGCTGGCACCCGGGCATGTCTGAGTCCCTCACTGGCCCCTCACTGCCTGCAGTGTGAACACAAGCAGAGACCAGAAGACCTGGATTCCAACCTGGCTTTTCCACTTCTTAGCTGAGTGGCCCTGGGAGGTGGCTTAGGTGCCACAAGTCTGGTTTCCTGTCTGGGAAGTGGTAATTAACAGCAGTGAGTCTCCCTCTGCTCCCTCCCTCATGTGAGAAGAGGATGAGATGAGGTCAAACAGGCAGACCATTCCCCAGGCCGCAGCATTTTACGGTTACAGAGGCCTGCTCTTGGACTCATGTTCATCCATCTCATAACTGGGAGAAGTAAGGCCCTAGCAGCTCCTTGCACACTATCTTTCTTACGGTGCCCAACCTGGTGCCCTTGGGGGGCTCTAATCTCAGGAGAACCATCACTCTTCACAGAAGGGC